GAACGATTCATTATCATCATTCAGAATTGAACGATGATTTTATTGTTCGATTTATATCAAATAATTCTTCATTATTATTCGAACTGAATGATAATTCTTTTATCATTTGATTTGATCGAATAATTCTTCATCATCATTCAGATTCGAACAATGATTTTTATTGTTCGATTTGATTGAACAATTCTTCATCATCGTTTGAAATTGAACAATGATTTTTTTATTATTCATTTGCATTAAACAATTCATTATCATCGTTTAAAATTAAATGATAATTTTATCATTCAATTTGAGTTAAACAATTCATCATCATCATTTGAACTAAATGATGGTTTTTTATCATTCAATTTATATTGAACGATTTTGTCATTGTCATTTGATATTGATTTATTCATCATTTTTATACAAAAAACACATTTATTTTAAATTTTAAGTTTACAAATGTAAATTTTATTTTACTAACGCTAATTATTCTAGAAATTATTTATTTAACAAATTGATTTAACATTTCTTATCTTTAAATTCTTCTTCTAACTTCAAAAACTCATTATTTTTATTATCAAAATTATATTGATTATTATAATTATAATCATCCTGTTCTATAATTTCTTAAGTTTCGCTACTCATTTCAAGAAATTTATGTAATATTATAGCACAATCAGCTAAATTAATAGCTGTTTTTAAATTTTTAACAGATATTTTTTTTAAAGCTCTAAATTTAGCTTTCAATCTACTAAATGTATGTTTTATAACAACTCTATGCTTTGAATAAATAAAAATTAAACTGATATTGCCTATAATTAGAAGGATTTTAAAAGGAGATATAAAAAAAGGAAAATTGAATATGCTAAATCACCTAGCACATAATCTTCATTTTGAATATATTCTGTTCTATTAAGATAAAAATCTGAATTACTATAAACTCATACATCATATATTGATCCAGGCTATCTTATTATATAATTAATAAAAATTCCTTTAAAATTAACAATTTCTTGACATTGAATTGCATATATTTTTTTCATTATAAAGTATGCTATTGGATTTTGTATTAGTGACTCAGTTAAAATTTTAAAATCCACTAATATTTTGAAATCCTGTATAAATAATATTTCGATTATTGTCTTTGGATCATTAAACAAATTTAAATTTTTTATTTCTTATTGCTTTCATTACACGATTAACATAAAGGATTACAGAACCTTCTGATACTCTAAATTAAGAACAAATACTCATAATATCATCTTTAGAATTAAGTCATCAAAGAAATATTGCTAATTGAAAATCAATTGATGTTTGTGGCTTATTTTCTTTGTCTTAAAATATTTTATCATGCTGTAAGATTTGTACTAGCCTATTAAATTATTGTTTTTTTCATTCTTAATACTTTTTTATATTGTATATTATCATATAAAGGTAAGATTTTATACTACTAATATTTAGATTTAATAACATTATGGTTTGAGAAACAAGATAACAACTAGAAGACAAAGTAAGAAGAACTATTTTTATTAGTTTATATTTATCATCATCTAGTTCATTAAGGTTTAGTTCATTTTTAAAAAAATTATCTATCACCTTCATTATTAATAAGAATAAAGCATAGTTCACATTGTATTTAAATGACAATGATTTGTTAAAGTTTAAAAATAGAACAAATCAACTTAGCATTTATCTGTTCAATTCTTGCCATTTTTTAATTAGTCAAAATAATTTCATAAAAATCAGATTAGATTAAAGTGAAACAGAATTGAATAGGGCTAATATCTAATCTTTAAATAACTTTTCATTAATATAAAAAAATAGAGAAAATACAAAAGTTCTTTTAGGATACCTTTTAATGTAAATATAGAAATATATTTATTTTATAAAATTATTATAAATTAATATAAATTTTATTTTAACTTTTAATTCACAATATAGTTCTAGAATTTAGATTTCTATTAATAGAATTTTAAAACATTTTTATATTTACTTTCATATAAAATTAGTGATCTTAAGAAGCTAATAATATCTATATTATATTTCAATAATATAATACTCCTTTTTATATCAATTTCTTGAGAATTTTTACTATTTACTAATATTAATTTAATATTTTAAAAAAAACTTCTTTTAATATGAAAATTTATTTAATAATTCATTAACAATAAATAATCTAAAATCCAAATTACAAAAAATATCATTATTTCCTATTGAAAATACATATTGATAACACAAAATTGAAGTTTATATTTCATTTATTTTTAATATAATGCATATATATGATTTAGGATTATTTGTTTATATTATAAATTTTTTTATTAGAAATCTTAATTACAAGAAGAAAAATTAAACTATTAAATAAATATTTATTATTAATTTATAAATATAATAATTTATTAATATCATTTAAAAGAATTAATAATAAAACTAATTTTATAGCAAGTAATTGAAGAAAATTTATAAACATATTTATATTTATAATTAATAAATTATATAATTAAAAAATTAAATTATAAAATATTTTTAAAATAAAATAAATCTTATTATGATCAATAATATTTATTGAAAAAAGTTTAAAAGTTTATCTATTAAAATATTTGATTACAACATTATTTTTTTATTATTTAAATTATAATCTAAATCTATATTACAACATTCAAAATTACATTTTTTATTATATCATTTATTTTCTATCATAAGAAAATATAATACATCAGAGTGTTACTCAAAATTTTGAAAATTAAAATCCTGAATAGTTAATTCTGAAGTTATATAGGTTGTGATCTAAAAAAATCAGATTCTGAAAAATTTTGATTAAAATTAATATCTTATTACATTTTGGTGTAAATGTAATAAAAATTAAAATGCAATTAAAATCTCAATTTTGATAAAAAATTCTCAGAACTTGATTTTTTTAGATTACAACCCATATAACTGAATGATTTTGAAGAGTCAAAAGCTTAAATAATCATAATTCTGAATAATACTAATCCTGAATAATATATTTTTTAAATACAATATAATTGTCAGTTGTATCACATAATATTTTTATATATTAAAAATCAAATTAATATATTATACAATATTAATAAAATTTCTTTTTTAATATTTTTTATTATTGTATTATTTTATATTTTAAAAGTATTAAAATCAAATATAACTATAAATGAAATTATAAAATTAGAATACTAAAAAATAAAAATTTATAAAGAAATATTATGTGCAATTTCATAAAAAAAATCCATTATATTGTGATTTTTTTATCATTCAAAATGGTTACAATCTTATTTTTTCAATCAATTATAACTTTTATTTGCTTTAGATATATTTATTATGAATAATATTTTTAATTTAAATTTTAATTTGCTATTACTTTTTTTTGAAATTCTTGAATAATATAAAAAAAAAGAGGTATATGAACTACAATACTAGTTTAAAATCGTCATCGTATTTTTTTATAAATATAATTATCATTAAATTATTGTATTATATTATTTGTTACTAAAGGTATTTCTGGTTTTAAGATATTAAATATTGCAGAAATTTTAAATGATGGTAAAAATGCTAATGCAAATAAATGGTATATTATAATATTAACATATTTATCATTACCATAATGGTAACTATTCAAATTTTTTTATTTTTCTTCAACTATTATATTCCATTATATTCTAAATGAAAAAAGCATCTATTGTTTCTAGTTTTAGAAAATTCATTATGTAATGTATTGATTGCTACTTTTTCAAAATCTGTAATAATTGATATATCATTTTCTTTAGCAAAAGTAATTAATCTTAAAAAAATTGTTTATAAAGTTCTTTTGATTTATTAGTCTTCTTTTGTCATTTGCCATCCACAGAATATATTATTGCATATTGGTTTACTGTTGTTGATATAAGACTTTTGGAGGTGTTAGCTTAATAGAGTTAATTAATACAATTTATAGCATAATGTTCACAAATTCCAAATTATAGTAAGAAGATCGAACCAAAGATTGAAAAGCAGAATAATTCTTGAATGGAACAGATCCTTTTAATATGAATAATTGTAAAGCTTTTATTTAGTTCAACAGATAAAGTCCCAATGAACAAAATCAAAAAGACTAGAGGATCATGAAGATCATGAAGAATGAGAAATTTTAAATTTAATTAAAAACTCTTGGTGTATTAAGCAATAGTTGGCAAGAATTAATCATAAATAATAAATAAATAAAAATCAAAAAAAATATTATCAAAAATTAATGCTTTAAAATTGATAAGTTGCATCTATACAAAGACATTTGTCATTTGTTCAAATAATTTTGATCTTTTATGCTATAGTCTTTGCAATCCATAGTCCGAATAAATTTAATAATTAATTAATTGGCGAGTATAAAATTAATCAGTTAATTAAATATTTGGATGTGTAATGCTCATTTAGACTTTTTTAATTTATTTTTAGAACACATGACACACATGACAAAAGTAAGAGTTAAAAATTATGAACCATGAATATCAATGAGTATGTCGTTGTATTTCTCCAAATGGTAGCGTCAAAGAGAGTGATCGTTCTGACGAGATCTTGAAAATGAATTGATAATCTCGATTCTTAGTTTCCATATAAAGGTAGTGCAAGTAAAGCAAGAAGTAACATAAAAATATAAGGATTAAGATTTAGAAGAAACGATAAATTAAGTGATGATTATTAACGTACATATTTCCTTCGCCTTGTAATCATATTATTTATTCCTTAATACGAACATCAGATGTACTTTGTGATAGAAAAACAAGTGGAACGATCAAATTTTAGGTAGAGCTAAATTTTGTAATAAAAAAGTATATTAAATTAGTAGACAATGAGAAGGTTTACGAGTAACTTTATTTTCATTTAAAAAGCATTATTAAAAATCAAAAGAAAAGAAAATAGCAATTCCTTTATTGTTATGTAATATATCTGATACATTAAGAAATGCAACAAACTAGAACTCATCTTTTCTCCCTGTAATTTAATATACATAAGTCATTCCACACTTTTTATCTTTAATAAAAATAAACGATAGCATATAGATGAGATGCGAAAGCAGCAAAACTTGCATCTGTTTTGCCAACGAATTGGTCTAATTGGTTATTTGGAATTGGATCATTGCAAGCCCTAATGATACTATGATCATTTTTCGCAAATGGTCCTGAAAAGATGTCATCACGAAATTGAGGTGGAAGTGGGTGATTTCTAAGTCCACTGCAAAGATGCCCTTTAACTGTGTTTATCCATTCGTTTCCAATCAAAACTTTTGTATTAACTTCATCATCATTAGTCCAATCAAAGATTAAAAGTACACCATTTTTCCCAGCGTATTTATAAGCTACATCAATATTAGTAGTAGTATAAAAACCTTCTCCAAATTCACTATTTTCCGGATTTTTTCCAATGTTAAATCCATTTATAAACATGCTAGTAATAAAAGACCATTTGGCAAGACCTTTATATAAGAATTTCTTTTTTCTGTATTTATCTTCCAATGGTTTGGTAATTGTTTGATGTACGTTCTTATATATTTTGTGTAATTTTTCCATTTTATAAACGAATATTTTCTTATTTGAAAACCTGTCATGCACGGGTCCACCTTCAATTTCCTCTGGACTGAGTAATTTAGCATCTTGAGTTATAAGTTCGGAAATATCACCTTTACCTACGGCATAAATTGATAATTCGGGATATAAATCAAATTGTGGAAATTTCAAATCAGCAAGGATAGCTTCACGAGCCACAAAAAGTTCAGTTGTAGCACCGAAAGGTATATCAATAGGCTTATTCCATTTCTGAATCTCATCCTTGCTTAAGCCAAACTTTTCAAGCTCATCTCGCACTCGGTCAGGCGATAATGTCCTAGCAATTATGTTTGAATTGGATTCTTCTGATCCTGATCGTTCAGATGTTTTTCGGTTTACAACATCCGTAGAACCATCAATAATTATTTTCAAATCATCCTATAAAATAACTTATAAGTTTGATTATAAAAATCGGACGCAAATGCATACCACCATATAATACTTACTTGCTCACTCACTAAAGATGTTTCTTTCTTATATTTCTTATAGATACTTTTACGTTTAACAGATGTATCTTTAGGAATAATCCTGAATTTGTTTAAAACATTCATAGTTAAAACCTATTTTTCACACGAATAATATTAAAAAGGATTAAAATTATGGTTCAGGATAAAAATTTTATAAACAAGGGAGAAATTGATTATTTATATATAAACTAGATTTGTATATATTTGTACGCGCCATCATATGTGATCACCCCAAATCTATATACTCTGCAAAGTTTGGTTTCACTAATTTATCTACAAGTTCTGATTGGCTGGTATAATTAACTAAGTTATTGCCACGTAACGTTCTTAGGAAGTGACAAAGAAACATCACCTCAGATACTTAATAAAAATTGAAGCTGGTAATAAATCACCTAAGCTTTAAATTGTGAAATTACTATAACAACTAAAGTCATATCATAAAACGGATAATTACCACTTGATATCTCCCACAATAGCACACCAACACCTTAAACGAAACAAATGCTTTTTCGTTTATTTATATTGTTTCAATGTATTATCTATTAAAATCTTTTGCATCAATATAAGGAATTACTCCAAAAATTTGTGACTGTATAGTTAATGGTCCAATTCTTTTGATAATCATAAATCACCACTTAAAATATTTCTGGAATGCTATTATAGAAATAACATAAAATAATTAGCAACAATAGTAAACAAAAAAATACATATTATGTAAGCTTTCCGAATCACGATGCGCAATTCCTTCATCACGACACAGCACTAGCCAATTGGAGTGCAAGTTTGTATTTATTTCCCAAGTCAGTTTATCAAAAATTCTCCTTCAAAAGTTTCTAAGTGAAAAGCCATTAGTATATTCATTACTAACCAATATTTTTTCAATTGAACATTTTGATTTTTTAAAATATGTATATTATAAAAATGTGTTGTAAAAAAAAAAAAATAAAATACGATAAATAAACTTTATTATGAGAATTTACCAAGTAATCCCACAAAATCGGATAATAACATGTCATGAAAAATCAACCTCCCGTTGAATTTCAATCTAATTAATTACAAATATAAATTTTAACTTGATACAAAACATTTGTACTAACCAGGCGAAATACATATTATATAATTACCCCACGAACAGGTTCTTTAACGGCAGCATGGTATGAAACGATTTTAAAGCGAGCAGTTCTTTGAATTTTTCCAATATGCACGACAGACTGCCAGTACCAACTTTTTGAATATTGCTAAAATGGTTGAAATTTTAATATTTGATAAATTTATTTGAAATAGGTTCTCCATCCAATAAACACACTCATTCGAATCGTTGGCAGCTTGCATTTAAATATCGAAATAAATTCAAATTCTTTGAGAAAACAAAAAAAAATGCACGCGGTAAATCATGTAACGCCAATTAAGTTTCTAAGCCACCGGCAATTTAATGTGTGACAAGATTAACTAATAGATTTCCTGGAGATTTAATATTCCCGCGTTTACTAATCGTTCGACCATGATCCTTATGTATATCGGCCATCCAGCAAAGACGTTCCGATCTATCTGATCAGCCATCCGATCAAAAATCGTATCATCCGGATAAAAAAAATTGATCAAGAGGTAAGTTATAATAGAAGAATTTGTTAGTTAATTGGTTTATTTAAAAAATATTAATACTAACACTTGCTTCTTACCTTTGTAGAACGGTATGGAACTTTAAAACCTAGTTTTCGAGGGTTAGTACGATTTAAGTTAAAAATTATTTTTATTTTTATAAAAAAAGCTTTCACCGGCATCTTGAAACCTTAGGGTTGGATCAAAGTAAGCCCTAATGGCGGCAAGTTTTATTTTTAATTTATTTTTTTTTTTTTAAAAAAAAAACGTTATTAACTTACCTTTGTTGACCCGACCCGGAATTATAAAATCGGTATTCTAAACCTACACTTTACATATAAGAAAAGTTGTAGAGCCAATTAAACTGATTATAATATCTAAATTTAAGAAAATCAAAATCAGTAGTTTGATAAACTAGCGTCCCAATGAGTTGAAATCTATGGAAAAAGCGTCAGTCCATTAAATCCGCGGAATCGTTCTTGCAAGAAAGATAAAATTGAATCGTTCTTGCTAGAACGATAAAATCTAATCATTCTTTTTAGAACGATAAAAATGGAATTATTATTGCTAGAATGGTAATAATGAATCATTCTTGCAAGAACGATAAAAAAGGAATTGTTTTTGCAAGAACGATAAAAACTGAATCGTTCTTGCAAGAATGATAAAAAAGGAATTGTTCTTGCTAGAACAATAAAATCGAATCGTTTTTGCAAGAACGATATAAATGGAATCATTCTTGGAAGAACGATAAAATCGAATCGTTCTTGTTAGCACGATAATAAAGAAACCGAAGCGGTTTTGCTAGAACGATAATAAAGGAATCGTTCTTGCAAGAATGATATAAACGGAATACTATTTAAAGATACTTGTGTGTGTGCATATGTGTGTGTGTCTGTGCATATATATGTGTGTGTGAGCACATGTATATGGGTGAGTGTGCATGTGTGTGTATGCGCGCACCTATGTGTGTGTGTGTATGTCATTATACAGAAAATTGGAAATGTAACATGAAAACATTTAAATTAAGTTCTGGACCATTGTAAATTCTAATGCTAAGTTTATTTTTAAAAACAAAATAACTTTTTATTAAAAATTAACATTATTCTTTTATTTTCTCCCTTTAGTTATATAACAATAAATTCTCTCTATTCTTTCTAACTTTTTTTTTTTTACTAAACAGAACAAAAAATGTCATATTCATTAAATGAAGGTAAATAAAATTGTAATTTGCATTATGATTATATAATGATGTAATTAATATTAATAATTTGTTTTGGATATAAATTGTAGAACAAATTGATGATTGGAAAAAAGTTTGTATTGATGAAGATGATTTTGAATACAAAAGGTTGAATGAAGATGAAGATTTAATAGAATTAGATCATAATATTATGAGCAATTACTGGTAGTTCTGTAACAGAAAATACTAGTGATAATATTGAAATTTTACCATTTGTATTGGAAACAATGGCTTTTGCAAAAGCTCATGAAAAATAATAATGAAAATAATGAATTTTATTGGGAAAATAATTTGGATGATACTTTAGATCTTGAAAAGAAATAACAACAAACCTTATAGAAGAAGATAATAGTATTAAAATTGAGGATATTTCTGATCAAATACTTACACCTTGCGTTAATTTAGATATATTTGATGAAAAAATACAATGTTGTTCTAAATTTGCATCAAATCAGCATCCTTTAACACAACTTGTAGGAACCTAGGAGATTGATGAAAAGATGTTTATAAATATGAAATTAGAGAACAAAATTACATATATTAGGAGTTTGCATGACTCATTTTAATTTTGATTAAAATACACTTTATACACCAAAATTAAAACAACAATGATCAATTGAGAAAAGTTGGATTTATCATCATTGCTGTTTATTTTGTAATAAACATAAGTATTTTTTTAGTTGTGAAAATATTTGTATACAACATTCAGTGTGTATAGTTGGTAGAAATGTACAAGTGTCATGCATTAGACTTAAATCTTGTCCTATTTTAATATTAATAAACACTAAATAGTATTATAGATAAATCAAACAATGAATATAGATTTAGTTATATTGGTTCACAATACTTCAATTTACAAGGTGATCATTTTTTTGAATATCAAAGTAGTGGAAAAAAATCATTTTCATGTAATGATAAACATAAAGATGATACAATAAAGGCACTTGAACTATTTGAAAGATGGATTTTAAATGTAGCAGTACCAGAAAAAGATAATAAAAAAGAAGAATTATTAATAAAATTAAGTTCTGTATTATCTATATTTAACCAATCATTATCACAAATATAACATATTTCTTCATCACAAATACAATCTTCTTCTTTATCACAAATACAACAACATTCTTCATTACAAACACAAAATTTTCTTTTATCACAAATACAAAATTCTCCAAGTTTATTATTTATAAATATAGCTTTTCATCTTGAAAAAGTTAATATTATAGAAATTATGAAAAAAAAGTTATGATTTTACATTAGAAATATCAAAATCAACTAAAGAATCTTTGGGAATTGCAATATAAAAATCAAGAAATGAAGTACATAACAAAAAGCAAGAACTTGAAAATTCAAGTTCATTAGAAAATTTTTGAAATAGTTTTTCACTTTTTTCAATGGAATTTTTGATGGATTGATTGTTACTTTAGAAGAAAAAAAATATGAAGTAGTAAATAAAAAAAGAAAACAAAGAAATCTTGAAATAAAATCTTTCGATATAATTAATGCAAAAAAGAAATCAACATATTTTATTTCAATATTATTAACAATTGCATTTCCCAGCATTAATATTTGGCTTACACATATTTTAAGTTCTCTTTGTAGAAAGCCAAAATTATTAACATCTTTATATGTTATACTTAATACAGCAAATGTTGTATCACATACACAATTTCATGAAAATTAGAATAAATAAAGCAAAGCCAAAGGAAAGATTACTTAAAGGAGAAAATATTTGGAACATATCAGTTATTGATAATATAGATTTCAAGAAAAAAACATTTGCATTTGGTAATATTTTTGATTCAACACTTAATTCTTCTCATATTACATTACGTATGGTATTTCAATTTCTTTTACCTGAACCAGTAAAAGACATTATTAATGATAATAATAATAATAATAATAATAATAATAATGATAATGATAATGATGATGATTTTATTTTATTTGGAAAATCTAATTTTACAGATAATTTACTAGAATACTATAAGAAAACTTTTAACAAATTTTTACAAATAAATGAAGATAATTGTGATAATAAAGATTTATATGATGAAATTGTAAAAGAAATACAATTAGGATGTGTACTTCCACCACCAAATATAGTAATTCTTGAGCTAGAGAATAATTCAAATTGTAATATAAATATTCATATACATGTAATATGTATTTTGATGATTTAGAAATTACTGATAATAATTATTTAAATGTAGCTTGTAATAAAGCAATTTTTCGATGGTTAATT